TTAGCATTCTAGCATGCAGTTACACTTACTCTCAGGGGCCCTTTACAGGGGAAAATGTAGGACAACCAGCGGACTTTAAAAATGTAAATATGTAACCTGTGTCAAAGTATGGAAATGGGTTATGGAATACATGCATCCTTCAAAGAGAGCCCCATGGTAAAATGAGGTGTTGCTGTGGAAGCAGAGACACAATTGCACTCCAGAGAGTAAAAGACATTGTGTTGCCTCCTCAGCAGAAATTCACCTCCCTTTATGAAAATCTGATAAAATTTCCGGTTTCCCACAGAGAAAATGACGGAGAATTTAATGAGAAACACATTGGAACCAGACCTGTCACCTTGTGATTATGTATTCACTAATCTCTCTGTAGAGTACAGCAAACGTCGGTCTTCTCTGAGAGAGTTTATCTGAGTTGAGGGGAAAAAACACATCTAGAAATAAATTACAAAAAGAAACATCTTCACTCTCCCACTGATACCTCCTGACATCCCACTGGACTCTTGTTTGGCCTGCAAATAGCAAAAGCATCAGGATTTGCACAGTAACCTATTTTTATGATTACCAACGACATTGAAGTTTCATACAATGAGTACTTTCTTCATACTTAAATGCAGCTTGCATGTGCCTGGCATTTTTAGTTTGGACTCAGGATTTGTGTTTGAGAAGTCCAAGTACAGTGAGAGGGGTAGCAGGTGTTCCTTTTCTTGCAGGAGCCATTTCCTCTGTCATATGAACTTCTGTTATCATCATCTTCATCAAATCTTACTCAGCACTATATCCATTCCATAAGCATTTTTGAGCACATGTGCTCATATGCTAGGGACCTATGCTAGGTCATATGCTAGGGACCTATACATAAATATAATTATATACCAAGTTCTGGGATAAGTAGAATATCCCATAGGTTCCACAGAGTCTTTAAGTCAGAGAGACATGTCATTCAAAATTGCTATCCTCTAAGAGTGTTTCTGAAGTTCTTTTTATCAGCCTCAACTTGGGTTGGGTAATGTACAATGAAGGCAGATATACTCGTTCCAGAAATTCAAACTCTGAGCGTACATTGATGTTAATATCCACAAGGAACATGCTGAACAAGTATTGAGCAAATAAAGAAATGTTTCACTAGTTGAGATCCTGTATAAAGCAGGATCTCAGAAAATACTAAATACTAAAGTAAGGGAATGAGGAGGAAATTTATGTCACAAGCTATACTTATTTGGAGGAGTGGCATCAGGACGAGATTACTTATATTCCTTTATGAATTTCCAGGAGGCTTCATGGAGAAAGTGGGATTTCACTCAGAACAGAGATGTTGAAAAATTGTATGTTTGACAAGGTCTTAGAACTATTAATTATCAACAAGGATACTACTCTGACCATTCCCCTCTGGATTCATTCAAACTTGCAAAGTCCTTCATAAAGCTAAGCCCAGAGTTGATCCCCATTTTGTAAATCTCTTGATCCAATCTCATGCTTAGTTTATTTTTTTTAATACAAGACAGATATCTCTTTTAAAAATACCTCTGTTTATCACCTCATTGACAATTTTTTTTCATGTGGTTATCCAGTGTAATCTGCACATCAATTTTTAGTTTTATCTGAGAAGGAACCATGTCCTTTCTTCAGTACCTCGACATTATAAGACTTGTACAATCATTGATGACAAAGCAGGAAATGACATTAAAGATCATATGATGGACGATAAAACAAGGCCTAGAGAGTAATGTGGGGTAGATATATGGCAGAGCCAGAAAAAAAAGGATAATTTAACAAAAATAAAAAGTATGTAAGAGCTCTTGATCTCTGATCTACTCTTTTATTACATAAAATTGCTTAAATATGGATGCATGATTTGTAGCTCAATTGTCTCATAGTGTTTCTGAATGTTGTTTGTGATTCTTACATGTAAGAGTGTCTCCATGACTCAGCTAAGGCTGGGTTCTCCTCCCTTCTCTCTCCTGAGACTTTCCAATAGGTAGAGTTAGATGGAGAGCTAACTCTTTTCTTCAACTAATATCTACTTATATGATAATCATATCTCAAAAACTGGTTAGTACAATTGGACTACTAAAAGAAAAATTAGATGAGTCATGTCTCAAAGCTTCTCTCAAGACCTTTTAAAAAGATTATTGGCTTAAAAATAGATTTCACATGATCAAAATTTAGATATAGCAATGAAAGAAATCTTAAAGGAGGTATAGAATCTCTTCAACAAGTGATTTTCATTTGCTTCTCATTGTAGCAATGGCAGCACAGTGCCAGAATTCAAGGTTTTGGTTAGTGCAATATTTTCATTTTGTTACTGAAAATGTGGGAAGTCATAGTTGGTTCCTCCATCCTATGGAAGGGCAAACATGTCAAGGTAAGAAAATTATTCAGTTTTCTAGTTCGAGATCAATTTTATAAAAAATTTACCTGGCAGATGGTTGTTTTGTTTTCAGTCATAAGAAATAAAAGCATCTAAAGCAATATAATTATTATATTCAGAAATAACTTTTGTTGGTATCCTTTATTATCATCACATAATTTTGAACTTCTGGCTACTCTAACTCAGCAAATGAACTAAGATAATTTATATACATCCACCCTCTCAAATTAGTTTCGTCAGAAACAAGTGATGGTATTATTTGTGAAATAAAACCACAGTATTATTACATCTTATTGGAACCCTCTATTTACTTCTATAGATGTTCTAAATAAAGAATATCTTAAACATAATATAATTAATAGAACTGAATTCTCAATAGGAAGGTATTTACTGTCTCCTAGGCAAATTAGGTTCCTAAATTTTAATGTCAAATTCATTGACGTTTTTAGGTAAATGTAACCATGATTAAACAACTGTATTTGATGTTAGATGGGCCAAGTTACTTAAAAATTATCAAAAACGACGTAAGCAAGGATCCCCTTCAAATGTTCTAGGTATTAGTAAGGAGTTACATTTATACGTGTTTTCTGTACATGAGTTCATTCAATTAATTAATTTAGGTAACTTTAAGCTTCAGTGAGCATTAATTAAATGTAATTGTGTATGGCCAGTAAACTGAAGATAAGTGTAATTTAATTTTTTTTTTTTAATTTTAGCTTGGCTTTAAATTTTGAAATTAATGAGTCCTGACTTGCATGATATATATTTAGTAACTATCCTACTTTAACTTTCATGTACTAATCAAATCATACTAGAGTACAAGATAAGCTATTATTTTGCAGTTTAACCTAAACTACCAGCAGCATCAGCCTAATGTAATATATGCATTAATTTAGTTTGTTGTTAATCATCATTAATATCATCTCTTCCTTGCCCATTTAGGAACACGTCTACTGTTCTGTTTTACAATTTTAACTTTTCATGTGTACTAAGAATTTGATACACGGTGTACAATTCTTAACAATATATGAGAGTAAACTAGAGGGTTGTTTTCAGCTTTGTACTGTGTATATAAGGTGATATGCCAGCTGGATGAGAGTTGGACATATTTTGTTTCCAAAACCCTGTTTCATTTAACCCAAGAGAATTTTAATTTATAAATTAAATAAAAATTTTGTAGTATCTCATTTGATATGTTTTAAATCATGTATTAAATGCAAACAATGTCTAATCAGACTATTGGCTTTATAATAAAACACAATACTAGAGTAGAGGCATGATGATTTCATTGATGGGTGATTTCATATATATTATATGTGTATAGTTTATTTCTATTTAAATAAGGCAATCTGCTTAAGCAGTAGTAAGTTCAATTGTGATAAATTGCTACTTTGCATTTGTGTGCCAAAATAAACAAAACTTTAGAAAAGTTTGTTAGTATCCTTTAAAAGAAAAGAAGCATGCTTAAACATACAACAGAAACTTTCTGTGAATTCTTCTGCTCTTCCTGTGAAAGACATACTTCTGAGAATTAGCTGTACCTTTTTTTACAGGCACATTTCTGATATAAACACTTATCTTTTATAGAACTCCATAGAAATGATTGCCCAGGAAAGTAAATAAATTACGGAAATTCTCTCAAGTCAAATTTTCTGTGATTTATGCCCAACATTCAGTATGCAGGTTGAGAATTAAAGTGCTATTTTCAATCATCAAATTCCCAAATTAAATTTCCCCTATTGCACGGCCACCTTTTTTAAAATATACATCAGAGAGTATCTATTCTAAAGGGCAATCTATTCATTGGGATGGTTACCTTTAGGACAGCAAACTCAAAGGGTGTTTGGCTGAGTAATAAGAATATTTTTGACAACAGAACTTGACGTGCATAACTGTTACACGATTCATCTTCTTCGATGTTCCATGTTTTTCTGCTAAGTGGGTTGCTCCCCGTGGATCTATACAGTGGGGATAGCAGAGGGTCATAGAAGAGGTATTTTTAAGCACTCTGGTTTCATAGTGTGTGCTTGATGGACAGAATAAAATGTATTCCTCCAGCTGTTCAAGAATGAGGGCAGGGGAGTAGATAAAAGGAGAAATGAAGGCAAGACAGAATCAGATCCCAGTAAATGCTGCAGACTTAGTGTAGTTGTGCCTCAAATCCTTTTCCTTACCTCCAGTGTATAATACCATCAAAAAAATCCTTAATTTTCTCCTTACTCCTAAGCCATTATAGCCCAGCCACCAAAGGGGTAGGATTCCACATACTGTCATGAATTTACACGCAAACACACACACACACACACACACACACACACACACACACACACACACGCACACATCTAAGCTGAGCTTTTGGCGCTGTTGAAGAGAATTTAAGCATTGTAAGAGGATGGACTAAACTTACATTATCTGAGGTATGGTAAAAAATAAAAATAAAAAATGAAAGTGCGATGAATAAGAAAAATGAAAAAAATCCACATGTTACAAATGGGCTATAAACACATTTATATTCATAAACTGCATTCAAATGGTTATGTCATATTAATTAAAATAAAAGTAAGAAAATATGCTCAATGCAGAGGTACTTTTTTAAAAAAAACAACAAAAAACAAAAAACAAAAGTTAATAAAATATTTTATCTGCATCAAAATATTCTTTGGAAACCAAAAATAAAAATGTATCATGTATGTTCTTTCAGGTTGATCTGTAAAAGTCAGAAAAATACATAGTCCACGCTGTTTAACTTTCTCAAAATACAGAGTATGCACGAAGCATAAAGCAAAAGGCTTTATGTCGTCCTGACTGAAGCAGTGTGCTCCCTATGTTGGACAAAGAATTCCAGTTCAGTTCCTATCAGAAAACAGTTTTGTTTCAGTCGCGCTGAAACAAGTGACTGGACTTCACTACGGTGGAGTGTAGCTGCAGGTGTATCCGAAAGTTTTTCTTCAGAGCCATAAAGACACCCGTGGAAACTCCTGAGGCGAAGGCATGGTTTCTCACAAGGCCAAGAAGAATATTATCCAAAGCGAAATTTGAGTCTGTACTTCACGGTGTTGGGACTTTTCCGAGGTGCAGAAAGGGGAACCTTTGGCTTGACAGGACTGGGTGGCTTTTTCTTCTCAGGAACAGTGACCGTGAAAGAAAGTTCTGGCTGCTCTAGCTGCTTGAATCTTGGCAGAAAGTGGGTAGAGATGTGCTGGGGTTTAACCCGCGGGCTGCAGCCTCGCTTAGCTTTCCCTCTCTTGTTGAGGGCCACATACCATTCCCGGCCTGCTGGCTCAGTTCTGTGTATTGCTGAGGCATAGGTATTATAGCTGTTTTCTTGGAATCGCTCCCTGAACTTGCAGTCATCGGTAAATTTGGCCTGGTGGGGGGAAAGAAGAAAAACTTGTAAATAGTAATAATATTTTCAGCATGTAATAAAATGAGGTCTTATACTGTAAAGGAAAACCAAAATTTCCACTGACGGAAAGATTCCTCCTCCATTCTCTCTTGTAAAGACATATTGGCCTCTTTTTTTTTTTGTTTTTTTTTTTTATTATTATTATTTAGTTTGAGAGAGACAGAGAGAATGTGAGTGGAGGAGGGGCAGAGAAAGAGGGAGAATCTCAAGCAGGCTGAGCACTGTCAGCGCAGAGCCCAACGTAGGGCTTGAACTCAGGAAACTGTGAGATCATGACCTGAGCTGAAATCAAGACTCAGACAAATGCTTAACTGACTGAGCCACCCAGGTGCCCGAAGACATATTGGCTTCTTTTAAAAAGTTGCTTTAAATTACTATTTTCATTTCTATCTTCCCACTTTATTCATCTTTGTAATGCTGATTTGTGTTTACTGTATACTTAGTGAAATAACATCAATGTATCTAAAAATGATAACAGGAACACTTAATATGTTGAAATTCTGTTATGGTTTTTAAATTACTTTGAGATTTGCAGTAAAAAAATAACTTCTAATATTTTAATATTTTTCCCCTCTTAAGCCATCAAGAAAATAAATAGAACTGAATTACTAAGGAACAATTGCCTGATAAAACATGAATGCATGTTTCGAGAAATGGGGTCAGATTATTCTTTTGAAATAAGAATACATTTTTCAATGTTATCAGTGTGATTCATGGTGCTGAGAGAGGGGTAGCATATGGCCCTATTAATATTGCATGTGTTAGAGTTCTTTAGGAAAAAATATATCTTCACACAGTGATACAGGAGAGAATATTTGATGCCAAGAAGAAAAAATTACTTTTGGAGTCACTAGCAATACTTCATCCAGATCTCTCTCTCTCTCTCTCTCTCTCTCTCTCTTTCTCTCTCTTCCCCTCCACAGACACAGACACAGACATAGACACACACACACACACACACACACACACACACACACACATATAATGTCTGCCCTTGAAATGTTCCCAGAATAGTGGCAAAAGCAGACAAGTAGACATCCGTCATGGCACAGCTTGATACAGGGAATGAGGACAGCGATATGCAGAGGGAACAATGACAGCATAGCCGAAGGGAATCTAAGAGGATGGAGGCGGCTGGCAGAGGGCAAGGAAGTTTTCCTAGAAAAGGTGCCATCTGAGCTGAGTCTTCAAGTACAAGATATTAGCAAGGTGACATGAGAAATGATTCTCAGGGAGCAGGAACAGTGTGTTCACAGGTCAACATGACACTTACTATAGGTAGTAAGTAATTCAGTATGACTTCCAGGTAGGATTCATGGTAGAAGGAACAAGAGATAAGGCTGACAAAGTAGGCCAGTAAAAGCTCTGAAAATGCTTAGTTTGCTCTGGTTGTAACGCTGATGACTTCTGCTTACTGTGTACATAGTGAAATAAAATCAATGTATATTTAAAAAATAGGAACTCTTAATATATTTCAATTCTGTTACTGTCTTTAAATTACTTTGAAATTTCTAGTTAAAAAGTTAAGTTTTAACAGAAGATTCTGTTAAGGAATTAAAAGAAGATGGTCTGGGGGTGTAGAGCATAAGCGTGCAGACAGATCTGTGATCAGATACCAATTCTGCCAACCAATGTCTTAGTGTCAGGCTCCTTACCCACAGGTCTTATCCACAGGGTTATTGTGAATACCAAAATATTTTTCCAGGAAAAATATTGGTAGCTTTCATCAAACCCAAAACAGGCCATAACTCTCAAAGGATAAGAATTCCTATCCTAGATCATTGGGTTTCACAATTTCAGGGAGCACCATTGTATAGAATTCCTCGGCTTGCAAATACCAAATACACTGATGTCTATATAGAAAAACACTAAATATATATATGAGACACTTTCCATATCAGACCAAGAGATACTATACTAGAATTAAAAGTTATTTTTTCTTACTTTTTCTAATAATGCCAAGCTTTCCTCTGCAATACAGATCACAACGCTATTATCTGAAAGTCAGAACTGCGGAAGGGAATCTACCTAGATCTACTGTTGACGGTCATATGAATATTTTGACTTGTGCAAAGTAGAGACAATATTGGAAGACAACCGATTTCAGAGCACTTCCAACAGAGCATTTATGTTACATACGACGGTTAACCCAAGTTCCTTACATTCAAGTAGAGTTCAATCAATAAAGCTCTTTATTTGAGAACTATGAAGCTATATATCTAGAATCTCCACAAGTCTACTGGTGATTCCCTGGATTTGATCTCTAGCTTCTGGAAACAGATGTTTTAAAGAACTATCGCTTATGGTATTCCTGTCATCTTGTCATACCCTACCAGCCTATGTCTAGGCCAAGGGAGCTATGCTGACATCACTGTCCTATTTTTCTTTTTTTTTTTAATTTTTTTTTAACGTTTATTTATTTTTGAGACAGGGAGAGACAGAGCATGAACGGGGGAGGGTCAGAGAGAGAGGGAGACACAGAATCTGAAACAGGCTCCAGGCTCTTAGCGGTCAGCACAGAGCCCGACGCGGGGCTTGAACTCACGGAGTGCGAGATCATGACCTGAGCCGAAGTCAGACACTTAACCGACTGAGCCACCCAGGCGCCCCATATTTTTCTTTTTATTAAAAAGACTTTCTTACAAGTCAAATGTAGATTTTCTTATAGTTACTTAGCTCTTAAAAGGACTTAAATGCTTTCCCATTTCATTAGATAATCCCAAAGTTTTATTTAAAATAAATGCCATATGGGGCGCCTGGGTGGCTCAGTCGGTTAAGCGTCCGACTTCAGCTCAGGTCATGATCTCACGGTCCGTGAGTTCGAGCCCCACGTCGGGCTCTGTGCTGCCAGCTCAGAGCCTGGAGCCTGTTTCAGATTCTGTGTCTCCCTCTCTCTGACCCTCCCCCATTCATGCTCTGTCTCTCTCTGTCTCAAAAATAAATAAACATTAAAAAAAAATTTTTTTTAATAAAAAAAAATGCCATAGCCATTTGTAATGTTTTCTGCTACATAAAAGGATAAGCATTTTAGGAAGGTATAGGGGGCTTAATCAAACAGAGTAGCAGGTATATTTACCCTGCCTCATTTTTTTCTTCAAATGTATTTGAAAAACATTTTTAAAGACATATAATACATTATACCCAAAACCTGACTTCTAGTCCTATTTTGCAAAAGTCTATTTTCTGAAATAGAAATAGCAGTGACCACTTTATCCAATTTTGACAGGTTTTTTAAAGTGTACTGCATTATTTAACCTTTTCTTTACTGGCACACACACACACACACACACACACACCTCGGTGAATTAAACCTATAGCAATTCCATCTTAGAATCTTCAGATGAGTGAAAGCTCACCGACTCCACCTGCTAAAATCATTTCATCTAAAACCATTCTCTTTTCCTCCTTAAGATTCATGTCCATAGTTCTTTCTTAACACAAAGGAAGGCTATTTGGGCTCTAGATTTTCAAGAGCTACTTAACTGTCACCCAGGGCAGAGATGTTCAGAACCTAAGGACCCACACACCACGTGTAACCCCACAGCCTTTCCAAAATCCCGCATTAGGAGTAAAGGCGGTCAGACTGTTTTGGATTTCTTAATTGACTTCTAAATTAATGTTTTGTCTGAAAAATTCTTCCAGCTGTGATGGAACAGCACCATTTGAAACAAAGATTTCAGCAAATTTTTTTCACCAAGAGATCTGGTTTCTTCTTGAGGGGATTGACTGTTCCTGCCACTATTCCTGGCCTTGTTCATTCAGACAAGACGGTGGCCCTAAACAATGAATTTCAGCTTCTAATATCATGCGTGAACCAGTTTTAGAGCAAAGAGTCACTAAGCAATATAGTTCTTAGCTACAGGTGTTTGAACATATAGATGTTTACCATTACACAGTTTTGTATAATAAATCTTCCAGGCTACTTTTAACTTTTTAAATCCCCTTTGAATTATCAGAAGTCCTTTGGCAAAATATATACTTTAAAAAACTTTTTTAATGTTTGTTTATTTTTGAGAGAGAGAGAGATGGAGAGAGAGAGAGAGAGACAGAGCGTGCGTGGGGGAAGGGCAGAGAGAGAGAGGGAGACACAGAACCCAAAGAAGACTCCAGGTGCTGAGCTGTCAGCAGAGTCAGATGAGGGGCTTGAACCCACAAGCCGTGATATCATGACCTGAACAGAAGTCTGTCGCTTAACCGACTGAGTCACCCATGTGCCCCTGGCAAACTGTATACTTTTAAAACAATAGAACTACATTGTTTCCCTAGAGAGAGTGACATTGACATAAAGACTTTTTCTATAGTTGAGGTGTGAGATAGAGAGGTGAACGAAATTTCAAAGAAGCTATTGAAAGCAGGATCCCCGTTGCCTCATCGTGTTAGCACCATCAGCCGCAAGACCGAACATAAAGAACCAGTATCTTGGTTTCAAATTCATTTTTTACCAGTCTATTCCACAGATCTTGTTGACTATGTATCACAGGCCAGGCACTGTGCTAGTTGCCACTTTTATGATGAGAAGCAATACAGACATGGTCCTGTCCATGTTCCTTGTTGAGCTACATTATATGTTTTTCTCCTTAATTTTTTTTGATGTTTATTTATTTGAGAGAGAACATGCACACATGCAAACACACATGTGCGAGTGTGAGCAGGGGAGGGGGAGAGAGAGGGAGAGAGAGAGAATCCCAAGCAGGCTCTGTGCTGACAGCCTGAGGTGGGGCTTGATCCCATGACCCTGAGATCATGACCTGAGCCGAAATCAAGAGTCTGATGCTTACCCAACACACAGTCACCCTTCTCCTTAATTTCTCCTTGATCTTGCAAGTGTAAAAACAAGTTACATTCAACAAATCATAACTGCAAAATTAAAATGAAATGTTCAAGCCAGCTAATTTTTATGTAATTTAATATAGTCCTAATGGACAAAACAAATAAACCTTAAACAAATTTAACCATTTTTG